AAAAAGAACTCGCCGGCTTCGGCCATCAATAAGACGTTACGTCCAATATGCGAGCGTTTTACGCCATACCTTCGAAACTATTACACCGCCCTACGTGCTCGTGTGCAAAAAGTGTAGAAAACGATGGACAAGTGGATCAGCGTGGATCTCTTTATTGAAAAGTTTTCGCTGTCCAACTGTTGAGAGGTTCAATTAACCAAGAGTCAGGTATAGAAATTCGTGGAACGAGTTGAAAGGTTCTTTTTGTTTTCCATTGAAAGTCGATTCTTTGCGAGTTCCATGTGAATTCATTAACCGCGAATTATTAATGGGTAATCGGAGACAAATTTCTGGTTTAACCGCGTGTACGTTCGCCAGCACGAACGACCAATGAATTAGAGTTTCCGGGAGCACAGCCGGATGACCGATTAAATTTGTAACTCGCCGTTTGAAAGGTTCGCGATTAATCCGGTTTGCAAGGCTGCTCATACGGTTATTAAACACGCGATCACTGTGTTTCTTCCCGTCCAGCACGCTCTGTTAACCCCATGTTGAACGAGTTACTGTTTTCGAGTTGGAACCGATGGAAGGAAAGGAGAACGCCGGGTTTTGACTCTGGTGACACGATGTAAATTGTTCCTATTATGAAATTCCGGAAGGAGATACGTCAAGTTTAACTATCATCTGGTATCAGATCGAAGGAATTTAGTGCACAGTTTGTTTAACTAAATACGCGTCTGTACGTTCTAATAAATTCAACTTACCGTCTTTGGGAGTTTCACTGTTTTCCACTTCCCGAGAAGTTCAACGCGAGATAGAGGATAGAGTATACAAAGTTTCAGACAAACGACTGTTACCACCAGCCCAGATACGACGTTTTGAAAGAACGGTGTGCGTTATCTTGACACCACTCCCGCCAAACAATGGTGAACTGGATGTAATGAGAAATATTCAGTGATACGGGACAAAGACGTAAGCTCTGTCTAGTTCCAACTGGCGAGCTTCTGGTTACAACGTAATACGTCAAATTTCAGAATTACCTCAACCCTGACGTTTCCATACAAAAATGAGGAAATTTCATTTCTGCATGTCAATACTCTAAAATTCGATTAATTTTCAAGAAAAGAGTCTCCTATTTTGATTACCACCGAAAATGACCAAACACAAAGAAGTCAAAATCCCATAAATAAGATAGAAAATAAAAAATTCTAAAGTCCATCGTTCGTTACAACACGATAAGAACAACGAAGGACGATGCCATTGTGACTGAAGAATTACAATTCTGTCGGTACTTCGCCTACTCCACCAATCGGTAATGCATATGCCGCCTAAGCAATGCATTCATTGCCGGATTTTCCACTTGGAAATCTCATATTTCAGGCATTGCACGGTAAATAATAGGATTCGCCGTTCCAATTTCCCATTGTTGCACGTAGCCAGTCGAATTTAATTACACCCAGGATCCGTAACCTCGAAATTGACGACGAGGGAGGGTGGAAAAAACATAGAGAGAGAGAGAGAGCCTCGCGTAAATTCAACCGGAAAGTGGCAACAGTTTTTATCCCGGTCGATGTGAAGCCACTAAACGCGAAACAGTTAATTGGCGATTGGATTAACGCGGTGTGGAATTCAATATTCACGCGGGAGCCTGACTTCGTTCGTTTTCCGGGCGACGGTTATTAAACAATTAGTCCTTTCGGTGCACGACTTTCCTCGCGTTTAATTGCCATCTCCCCCCTAGTCCGTGGCTGTGTGTTTAATTGAACCTGCCTATACGTGTGTGCGTGCCATTTTTTCTCTCACCTCTCGTGTTTTCGTTATTACCTGCCGCTTGTCCCTCGGCATACGGAATTACGCGATGCACACCGGAAACTTCTCTGGTCGGTTCGTGCAATCTTCCTATGGCCACCGGGAAGGAGGAGAAGTAAAGCCGCAAAAAGTTTCGCGGAAGAATTCTGAGTCACAGGCTGATGTAGTGCAACGAGCTTTAATTTTCCGTCGGCGGCGGTGCTCAAAATTTCTATCCAAGTTTTACAATTCAACGGTGAACCCTCCCTTTCGGCCGGTAACCAATGTGAATCACGGTGAAACAATCGGAAAGTTAGCGCCCAGTAACTACCCCAACCGAGAAAATTACGCTCGAAGCGAAACTTTCTCGTAGAAGGTGGCCAAGGGAAAAAAGGCGTTCGTAGCTGCAAATTGGACTGTGCTGCTACGACAACGTGGCGGGGATTATGCGTGATCAGGACCGAATGAGAATGATGGAGAAATTTGGGAAATAAAGTTCCGGTTGAAAGTGGCATTTTGTCGAACGAGTGGTACGGATAATTATCTCTTTTTACACTTTGTGAGCTGAATATTTTGTAGCTTGTGATATTGTTTTAAATATCAGTGTAGCGTATCGTGCAAACCTTATTATTTAAATTTCCTGCTGTGTAAAATGAAGGAAATGAATTAAACGTTTATCGTCTATACTTTCGTTGAATGAATATATTATTTTGGTGATTTTGATTTTTGACGAACTTTAATGAAAATCCAAAGAGATACAGCGATGGCATAATAGTCTTACCAAAAATAAAATAGGAAATGTGGAATGAGAAGACTTACCTTTTTTTTTATCACATTTAAAGGTTCGTTGGAAACACTGTTATAAATTATACAATTCGACAGGAAGTTACAGAATGACCTAATACTTGTTCGTTGTTCTCAAAAAATGAATTACGCGAACACACAGAAGACACGTTCGACCCGTGAAAATGAAAAGATTCACTTTTAAACATTAGCAATTTCGTTTCGTAAAACTGATTCGCGCAAAACTGTCCGTGAAACACGTCCCGCAGAATGGCTATGAAAATCTGCCGCATTCTCATCCCCGGCGGCGACCCCTTTGCGTCATAAACTTAACGAGCAACTGGGAAATTATTTTCACCGGGTAATTTGACGTCATTTACCACACGTCGGCGTGGTCCCGGTCGCGTTGCCACGTTAGAAAAATAATTTACATTGTCGCTGCGCGGTTAAGCGCCTTTGAGAATGTTTCCTCTCCTTTCGCGCCCGTTATAAAAGTTTCTACTTAAAGGCAATGCGAGACCGGCGAACCTTTGTTGCGTTAATTCCAACGGACTCCTTTCTGTTACGCGCTTTTCTGGAGAAGCTTGAATTTCCCGCCCCACGCACCGAGTGCACCACGCGTTTCATTCTTTCTCCTTTTTCTCTCTTTTCTTTTTTTCGAAAGAAGTTAATCCTCGTTAAATTACATCCTGCATAGCTTCGCGTTGGTCCTATTAAAGGGTCAAAGTTACTTTAACTTTGACACAGGGGGACGGGCTACAGAGTCCCAGCTGTTTCTGGAGCAATTATAGAATAGTCGACGGCTGCAATTAACTCGAGACTGCATCGGTATAAACGCGCCACCGCCGCGTGTATGAACATGTTTGTTTTTGCAATTAGCCAATTAGCGCGTGTCGAGTGCCAGGGACCGGTGGGGAAACAATGAAATTACAATTAACCGTCGCTTAAATATATAATAGCCGACCTCGAGGAACGTTGGAACTTATCATCGGGAATCCTTTGTAATCGCTTGGAAAGTGTGCGTTTAATTGTTTCTACTATTTTCCTGCTTTCTTCAAACGTTTCAACGTTGGCGGGGTGTCTCCGATGTTCTGTTTATTCCGCAACGTGCTCGATTCACCGTCTTATACGGAATTTAATCAGACAATGGGAAGATTGATTTTTCGTTTTTTTATTATCGTTAGTGAATTTTCGATTATATCTTCGGTTTATCGAACGTAAAATATTTTATCCCTCTTTCCTCCCCGCGCGTCGTTGAAGTGTCAAAAGCACGACGTGAAAACCTCGGTTTATTGCACGTCGAAAAGCTCGGCCCTAAGTGTACGCGGCAAAATGTAAAATCCTTTTTGGCTTATGCATTCTTAAGAACCGCATAAACTTGGATGCGTTCCTTCTACATACGGGGTGTACGAAACGGGATGAAAGTAAGGAAATTCTCGTCAACCATCCTTTTGGTTTCACATTTATTGCAGAATTACACCGTGATGTTCGATTTTTTAAACACTTTGCAACTTCGTCGAAACTTTGGCTTCGTCAAAACACGTTTGCGTTACATTTTACGAGTTCAACCTCGCGGTTTCAATTTCGTTCATTTTACGAGGCCCAGTGAACGATGTGTATCAACCACTACCTTGGAAAATGAGACACGCTATATTTCTTGTTTTATAGCGTAAGATATGAAATTTCAGATAGATGAAATTAATTACACGATCGAAATACGCACACTCGTTATTCCCTTGTTACCTAAACTTCGTCCTCGTTCGCTCATTAAACTCCTCTCATAATACTAGACGTCGAAATGAATGCTATAGTCTTTCGTCGCCCACGCTGTCCACCCGAAACCGTGAAATAAACTCGACGAAAATAAACATCGTCTGGTTGCAAGACGACCACGTGACATCGTTATCCAATTAATACCAGGTTTCCCTGAGTTTCTCCTATTTCGTTTGGTGACGCAAAAAGGCAGACTCTATCAGGGACAATTTATAATTCAATGACACGATAATTTCACGTTCAACAACTAAAAGCACTTCGACCGTATAATAGTTTCATAACCGAGGCTTGGACAGGCTCGAGGAATTTTTAATCGAGTTTCGCGCGATTCGCCGGTGTAATTCGGAGAGCAGAGACGTTTAATTCGATCGGTAGGCTTGTGAAATCGAACGATAATCGTGAGGAGGAAATCGTGAAAAGAAGATTTAAAGATAAAAATCGTTAGACGAAAATCGCGAGAAAAAAATCTTGAAATGAAAGTCGCGAGAAGAAAATTGCAAGAAGAAAATCGAGCGTAATCGCTACGTATGCGCGTGCACACGTGTCGCAGCGTTCCTCGAAGCCGACAGCGTCGACCGGTGTGTATTTAGGCTGGTCCACGCTAAATTTAAATCAGTCCGTGTCGGGGCCACCGAACGCGATACCTCGCGGTACGTTCCCATTCATTTCCACGCTTTCCATCCCCGGCGTTCGAGAAGCTTCTTCTCGCAAATCTCTGACGAATTTTCCACGTATCTTTCGTGGTCGGATCGAACGCGTGAAATGTTGGGATGAAAGGTGCTACGTTGGATCGATGCGATCGATGAAATACTGTTAGTAACCTGGTGAGTACTTGATTTGGCTTTTTTCACCGTTCGGAATTTCCCGATTGCGGAATGCGATATTATTGTATTCTATTAGCGGAGTCAAATGAGTAACATTCCACTCGCATAGCACAGAATGACTTGTTCACGTTCAACCTAACGCAACGGACACGGGTTTTCGAAGCTCGGCTAAAAACGGGATTTCATCGACGCGCGATTACACTGTTTGCGGTTTATCGCCGAAAACAATCAGCTGCCGGTACTGTTGCAAGATTAAAAAACGAAAACAAAAAAAAAACAGATCGTGCAGAAATGGTTTCACTTGGTGAAGGGATACGATCGGTGAAATTTCGTTTGAAAAAAAGGTGCTTGCATTTCATATGGAAAATTTCAATCGGAAAAAATGAAACGCACTGTGCGTGCGTGTGTGTGTCGATAAAGAAAAAACCGTCGCAACGTGTTGCTTTTAAACATTCCACGCGCAATGTTCGAATTCGTAACAGTTTATACGAGTCAAGATTATCGTCGAACATTCGGAAACATTCTTTCCTCGTTTCTTTCGCGATCGAGAAAATGTTCGTGACTCTCGAGAGCACTCGAGTAAAAGTGAAAAAAGAAGAGAGGACAGAAAGAAAAGAATACCGAGATTGTAGTGGAAAGTCGTCGAGATTCATCGAAAGGCGACGACAGGACACCAGTCTGCCGATAGCTGAGCGTTTTCACTCGATCGCGTTTCTCTCGTGTCGAAAATCGGGGCCGTCGCGCGTCGCGACGCTCGGTACGTTTTTAACAACAACACCGACACTCGACGTCCGCCTTTTTAACGATCGTGATCCACGTAATTCCAGAGGAATAACCGAGCTTGTTCACCTGAGCTTCGCCTCCAACCTTCGTTCCTTCGACTCCGCAATTATGTCGGGTTGAACTGCAATTAAGCTCTAGTTTGGCCCCGTAAGTGGCGCATCTAGAGCTACTATTACCGACGAATTTATAGCCTATCGATATCTTACAAGGAAGCTAGTTGAGGATCACGTAAATGTAAATTGTCGACGAAACGACTCGAACCTGGTAATAACGCATCGATTAACCTGAAACCAGTTGTCCATTCTAGAAGGCCAATCTACACGAATGTCCAAAAAATTCTCAAATAAACAATTCACTTCGTAAAAGTACAACCTGTTTCCATAGATCGTACATTATACTAAGAATTATACCAAGATACTAAGAATTTCTCTTAGAACTGTATTCCTCGACGTAATAGAAAATTCGAAAGCCTCGAGCCTTCTAATTATTTTCAACTCCGTCGCCGTTAAAAACCAGTTTTCGTGCATCGCGCCGGCTAATTGGACTATTCTAATTTCCTCTGTTTCACTGTTCTCGTGTACGCTGACATCGCTAATTCCAATTTCCGCCGTTGCAACAATTTACTCGGCATGGTTGTGATAACCGTAGGAAACGAAAGCTTCTGGAATTTCACCAAGAGCACCGAAACCCCTTCGCTGTTTCGCCCTTTCGGTTAGATTCTAAACCCAGGCCGCCTCCGTACGTTGCTACATCGTACGAGCGGTGTTTTGTCCGCGATTTTGCGGCCGGGAAAAGTCGTAATATTCATAATCCCGGTGATAGGAGGACGGGTGGATTCCACCGGAGCCGATATTCAATTCCTGCGAGAGACCAATGACCGACAGTTGGTCGTTTCTATATGTCCGGTGCTCTCGAATCCAACGCGAGTAGTATCTGCGCGATAGGTGAATTCTACGTGGAGCGGCGTAAAAAGGAGAGTCGACTTTATGGTCGTGCGCGCATCGGCCACCTGTTTTTAACTGGCAATTCCCATGGTTCAAGTATTTTCACCGTTCTTGTTTCCACCTTTTTCTGTTTTTTGTTTAATCTTCTTTGGGCTTGGTTCTTTTTCTTTTTTGGTAGACGAAAAATGAACCGAGACTTACACGGTGAATTGTTGTTGGAATGTGTATTTTAGTTATTGGAATTGCGATTCTATTTTTATTTCAGACTCGTATTTTTCATTTATTCGACGTTCCTTATTCGGGGCGATGCTGTTTGGAGAATTTTTTAGGAACGAATCAAGCGTTCAATTTGTTTACCTGTTTTATCGGAAGATGTACAACTTAGGGGACTGGTTGTTTTTAAAAATTTGTTCTAACTTTGAATGAAATGAAAACAGTGAAGCGTGTACACATTGCATATTGATAAAACCCAGAATTTCTTTATCTAAATTCTTGTCACAGATATAAATCTCACCTCTTATTGTTCAAATGAAACTATAGCAATTTTTGATCGAAAAGTCGATAGATGTTAAATATAGTTCAGCTTCTGTCTGAAATAATTTCTATACAATACGAGAGACGTTCTGTAATTTCTTGTAACAACTGACACTTACATAGGACATTCTGTGCACTGTTTTAACTGGAGGAATCTAACGAAGCTCGAGTGTACATGTTAATTTGTAATACATAAATAAGGAACAAACAGGTTCTAGATAATACCGAGACGATCTATTTGTACTCCGTTTCTCTCGGCAACGTAATTACTTCGTCAGACGAGAGTCGGAAGAGGGTATCACCGCGGTGAAACGGGTAAAAAACTTAATTATGGCAATGCACCGGAGCTGTATTAAACGCGATACTTCTACGTTCCGAAATAAACAAGTGGCACAATGAAGAAAGACACTTCACATTTAATTACACGCCTCGTTTCGACTTTTCTCAAATCTCATTTCCGAACAACTGAACGTAACAAAAGGTTAACATGACAGAACCAAAAGGAAGAAAAAGAAAAAAAACAGTCGGTTTTTCACGATACGACACTCGTTGAAGGGCAATGTTTCTTTACAACTTCCATTATCGTAAACTACATTTCGTACGGTATTGTTGAAGCGGAACAATCGGTTTTTTCGGAACAATGCGTAAGATTTAATATCGATCGGGTGTGAAACTAGGTGGAAGGTGTGGGCAAACGAGCCCGGTTGCACAACAATCTGTGAAACTGACTTTGCGCGCGAGCCGCGAGAAAAATATTGCGAACGGCGGTGTCAAAGAATTGGAAACGGTGGAAATTTCAGCGTAACGTTGCTGGAAAACAGCGCGCACGTTTAAAGCTGACTGGCATTTTTAGGGAGGCCGTATGAAACGGAAAATGCGTCCTGTGCTTGTCGTGCGTGTGGATTGCAGCCGACAATGAAACTTTCGTTACGAATTTCCCAGCCGAATGGTAAAAGTGTCTGTAATATTCGACGAGTGGATAACGATTTCCGACTGCGACTCGTTCCGTTGCGCGAGCGTTGTAACCATTCGGGGCAAAAAATTCGGACATTTATTTGTCTAAAATTTCGATGGAATTTTTCGTATAATTGCTGGTGCACGTATCTATGAATCGATATGTCGTTCATAAGTATTAAGATTTAAATGACAATTTAAACGTCTAACTTGATATCTCGTAAATGAGGAGAAAATCTGATGTCACTGAATTTTTTATTACTAAAAAGATTGCAGACGAAATAATTCTTTTTACGATCTTAATAATTTTGTAAGGACTGCTTTGGTTGGTCTTGCATTCGGTAAGTGTCCTGATACATGTAACTACCATAAGTATTTTCCCACATATTTTTTCTCTTCATTCAAGGATCGGACAAATTTTTCAAAAAGTTATTTTTTAAAATGAGTTAAACGAAGTTGCTAACAGAAATAAAGAACAATTTCTCTTCGATCCGCACGAGAACAGCTGATCAACTTCATTACTCTCCATGTAAGTAATTATAAATCCCGGGTAAAGTGATTTTTCTGTTAAACGATAAATTCGTGGTTCTCTGAAAAATTACATTGTACCCTCTGTGACTCTCTGTCTTGAAAAATCATATAAAATCCATCGAATCGAAGCATGTTTTCACATTTCTGCGTTCACCCTTAATCGATATCATTACCCGTGTAAATCGTTTTTTGCGATTAAATCGCTGGTGAAAGAGAGCGGGTAATTAATCAAGCGTCGTCGTTTCGAAGAATCGCGTTGTTGTAATTTCAACGAAACGAAACGAAACGGGAGGAGCAACCGGTGAAGGACGGAAAATGGGTGAAAAGCAGACTCGACGCTACGTGACCCGATACGGCGCGTCAATTTTCACAACTTCCCAGTCATCCGTGCGCCATTTCTCGGCGACTGTCCCGCGACAAAGTACACAGAGCGCGGAAAGAGCGTGAAAATGGTCCTTTGACGTCAACCACAGTCACTATGGCCGCGTTTCCCGTGCTTTATGCCCTTAAAAACGGACGTGCCAGGTTCGGTCTTGTGGATTTGTTTACAAGAGAAATTCACCTTCTTTTCCCACTTTTCCCTTCGTTCCCGGCGTTGAATCGACGTCGTCGAACGGGGAATGTTAGCCAATGGTTGCCCGTTGAATAGGACCTCCTCGAATGTCAGCTTCGAGCAACCAGGGAGGCGACATTTTACCATTTATGCTTGCCTCTACTTCTACCCTTTCAATTAACAGCTGGTTCGCAGTGTTAACGGTGTGATTCGAATTCATTTTGATGTTTGGACGGAATGAGTGGATATATATTTCAGTCGAATGGAGAATAATTTTGTTCGTTTGAATGGAGAATATTGTCAATTTCATTAATTATCAAATGGCCCCTTAAGATGATTACTGTAATCATCGTTACAGGAAAAAATGCAAATGAAATGCGTTCACGTGATCCATAAATGAAAAGAAGAAAAGCACTGCAAACTGGAAGAGCATCCAAAGCATAACTTCCATGACTTGCTGCAATAATGTCACTTTATTCTACTTCAGTTCACGCCCTGCCTTTATCTTCAGTATTACTGCATCATATACTCAAAACCATACGAATTCATATATGCATAAAAAATAAGAATCTCCAAATTTATCGAAGCAGCTACACTTCTTACGTTAGGTGAGGATACAGAGGTTCACATTCGTCGAAATTTATCGCAACTCCGTTGGCAGCAAGGTGAACAATCGCATCGTTAAACTACCATCAAAGTAG